TATGTCGACATTCCATGTCCATTATTGTGAAACCCGCGAGACACAACAAAAACACAGCTCCGATCACAGCGTCCTCCATCCTCCTGTTGTTAATGTTGTTTTTCTTTGTTTCCATTGTTGAACGCCGCGCACAAATGACATTGCTGTCGACCGGTTCCTAGTACACACTCTCTGTGCGAATGCAACCCTTTAAATGGTGCGTAAAATCGTCCCAGTACTTTAGTACTGTACATTTAGTTCTGGAACTAAAGCGGTGCGAAAGGCCCTATAGTGCCGCGAGACACAACAAAAACACAGCTCCGATCACAGCGTCCTCCATCCTCCTGTTGTTAATGTTGTTTTTCTTTGTTTCCATTGTTGAACGCCGCGCACAAATGACATCGCTGTCGACCGGTTCCTAGTACACACTCTCTGTGCGAATGCAACCCTTTAAATGGTAAGTAAAATCGTCCCAGTACTTTAGTACTGTACATTTAGTTCTGGAACTAAAGCGGTGCGAAAGGCCCTATAGTGGTCATGGAGGTTGGTGGAGAGAGTACAGACAAACTGAGTGTGATCAGGTGCTGTTGTAATTATCAAACTCAACCACGCATGACCAGCAGCTCTATGAATGCACACACGGCAAATCTCGGTTATGGCTCTAACATATACTTAAGCAAAAATAACATAACTTCATGGTAACATAGCAAAAACTATTGGAACTATTTAACTATAACTATTAACTATTTTAATGAAGTATTGAAATAACACAAATAAATAAAACAGCTAATTTTTATTGATAATAAAAAACTAAATAACTAGGGATGGGCATTTTTTAAAAATATTGCATTTGAATATTTGAGCCCATAAAAAAAACTAATTCAAACATTTGTTTATGTAAATGACGTTTCATGAGAAAGATGTTTTTTTTATTTAATTGTTTTATCAAACACTATTTTTGTCACCATTTCTGAACAATCTTATCAGGCTATATTCACAACAAGCTTATAGATCATATCCTGTTTTTTTCCCATTTGAAAACATTAAATAATGTGTGCAAACAAAAAAAATGTACAGAAAAAAAAAGCATTCACCGCACAGTGCAAAGTAAATGAAAAAAATGGCTATAAAGCATGTACTTATACACTCGAGTTGGCATATGGTTATTGTGTTTGCATTGTTTCACATGTTCATGTTGGGAAAAAAAACACATGTACATCAACATGATCAGGTGAAAGCTGGCTCCTTATGCCGTGTGTCCACCAAAGCATTTGTAGCCAGCTGAAAATGTCAGGTGCTCGTCTGAAAATTCCTTTGCTGTGAACACTTGCAAGTAGGGCTGGGTTTTTACACAAATTTCACGATTCGATTCGATTCTCATTCACAAGCTTGCAATTCCATTCGATTACCAATTCGATTCGATTCGAAATAGATTATTTTGGATATATATCAGGTACAGTACATGCCAAATTTTCTCAAGGAAAAAAAATCTGTAAAATATACATGAGGATCAGTTGGTACTACATTACTATAATATTGAAGGTTAAAATGGACTGATTTGTTAAAATTAAACTTAATGAAGTTTTTAAAATAATAAAGTTACAATTACATAATAATATTTCTACATCAATTTGTTTTTTTGAAATATAAACATAATTGTGGCTGTCATAAAAACTTGATGGATTTATTCAAACATAAATTAAACATTGAAGAACAGTACAATTTATAATGAATATGTTATATGGTGCATATATTTAGCAAAATGCCCCTCTCTACAGTTTATTTTTCTATCTGACTAATGAGTTTATGGTCACCGAATATGTTTTTCTGAGGTAAATGTGACGTTACGTGACATTGTTTACAAGCCGTTATATTGACGTCTTTGCGCGGCTGAAACACAGATTGAGCGATTACATGAGACAGAATACGGATTGTAAAGTTGTACTCTTTCTTTTAACTTACCTTCGGATGTTTAGTCATGTTTATTTTGTGCTGAAACTACAGCTGCCGCGTCTGTTGAACTGAGGCGCTACAGCGATCTGTCACTCCACATTAAACAGCGCCAAAACGGCATTTATTTTTTGAATACTGCAATACAATGGACAGAATTTGAAATCTGAGACTTTGTTTCATATTAACAGTACCAAAGCACAACGCTTATTGCGATTTATTGGATGGGAAGTACCCTTCAATGTTCCGTC